TTACTTGAGGGCCTGAATTCTCGACCTGGATGCTTAGTATATAAGCTACTGATACCACTACTCACTGCTTCACCAGAATGGCTGTATATTTTTCCCACCAAAAGTAGAGCTATTGCACCATACGTTTCATGGTCTCTGTAAAGAAAAAAAATCATTGTCTTGGTTTACATTTCCTTAAAAAAAAAAGTAAATTTTCTACAAATTGCTTTAAGAATTTAGACAATGAAATCTAAAGTTTTCTAAAGAAATCATCTCAGTTCCTTTTAATGCAACAGTATCCCACATACACACATAAAGTCAACACTTGTAAAAGATCAATTCTGAAATATAACTACAAGCTTTAATAAGCATGTACCACAAAATTAAAATGCACAAGGGTTTTTTAAGCATAAGCATTTACTTCATGATTCCTTAATTCATATCAGGTCCAAAAAAACAATATTCGGAAAGATTTTTCAGGATTTCAAAGTCGTTCTGTAACTATTTAAGATATGGAGAACAGTACTAAACAGTTTGAATGATCCTTTTGTGTAGAAATAAACGATAGGTCCCAGTAATACTTTCCCTTCAGGTATGGATTGAGAAGGCTAAGAAATTTTTGACTTTGCAGATAATCTTGACTGGTTAAATTTTTCTGTATTTGAAATTTACTAAAGTTGGCAGTGTATTTAAAAGACGGATCTAATAGTTTGCAGGCAGGCAGAAGATATCTGTATCATTTCTACTGACCCAAAACAAAACTTTCAAAAGAGGGCCTCACGGGACTGCAGTTGTCCCTTCAGTTTGCTCCTGAGGGAAAAGAACTATTTTAAAAATGTTATGGAAACGTATCCAAGTGGATGCAATAGGGAAAAAAAAAATCTATAAATGTGGAAAATTCTACCAAACCAAGACAATGGGTTTAACAAATGAATTGTAAAGGGAATAAAAGTAATGGCAGAACTACAGATGAAAAACTTATGAAAATTAACAATTGTAATGTGTAAACTTTACTTAGATTTTATTTTGAACAGAACAGATGTTAACTGGGATGGTAATTTTGAGACAACCTGTGCTATTTTAACACTGACTGGATATATGATGGTATAAAGGAATTGCTTTTCTTATAGGTGTGGTAATAGTACAATGACAGTTTTTAAAGTCCTTACCTTTTTAGAGATTTATATTAAATATGTATGGTAAAGTGATATGTTTAGGATTTGCTTCAAAAAATCCAGCGGAGGTTGGCATATGATGAAACAAAGTTTGGCTAACGGTTGATAAATATCAAAGCAAGGGCAAAATATACATGGAGGTTCGTTTCCCATAATAAAAAATTGAAAATAGTACAACCACTGATTATAATGTCTACAATAATCATTAAGACAGTTTAGCAACTGGAAGAAATGCTTATTATACAATGCTAAATGAAGAAACAAATGTACCTATGTCAAAATTTCAAAGGCATAAGGTTAAGAAAAAAATAGGAAAACCAAATGAATTTGTGGGTCGATTATTTTTATCTGCTAGTATTACACTATTGTCATTAGACATTACTAATGAATTCAGGAATAGGCAGGTAATTTAAACTACCTAAGAAGGCTGGGTATAAAATAGTGGGTAGCCTAGAGTAAACTAGAGAACACATGACTCACCTTAAAGGTATTCAGTTTCAGATAAATACTGTTATATAAAATCTGTTTTTAACCAGATATTCAAACATCCTCATTTTTAGAATGACCATATCATTTATCAGCCAAAGCAATCTACTATGAAAAAAGGAGGAAGTAACAATCAAATCAAAATGATACAGGAAAAAGAGACCTCTTCACCCATTCAATTTACATATATATAAACTGAAACATAGTTTGTTTTCTTGCTTGCGCTTAAGAAAACTGTCTAAATCAAAATGAATTAGCCTCATAAGAACTAGAGAGACTGGAGCCCAGAGAGGCACAGAGATACGCCCAAAGTCACAGTGTTAATTGGAGAGGCCAATGCTAGAAGTCAGAACCCAAGTACTCTGACACTATCCAGACCAATCTATTTAGTACTAACCACTTCCTTTGTTTTTTAATTACATGTTTCCTGGTTTTTTTCCACAAAAGGATTCCCCTCTTGTGGAGAATGTGTTCTTCAATCAATAAGTCTAAAAATAAGGCAAAAAATAATATAAAGACAGGAAGAAGAAGAATGACAAAGGCTTACGAAAGTAGACTCTTTGGTCAATTCACATACATATGAAATCTTGTACTCTAAGATCGAATACTTTTTCTACATAGCAAACAATTCTTCCAACTTAAAAAAAATATTTCTGAACCATGCATGATGTCAAAACAAATTAAAAAGCAATAACTGGCATTTTTGAAGAAAAGCACACATACACTGATGCACTGGCTCCCAAATGTTAATTCTTTCCTGTCTCCCTGAACAAGCAAGAACCAAGACTTCAGAGCTTAGTATGTATTCCCCCAGTATACAGCTAGGGAAATAGAGACTCTCCAGAGCAGAAGGTTCCATGGCTATTAGCTGACTAAAGAATCTGCTTGGCTCTAACACCTATAGCCTTGAAGGATCCCATCAAGACAAGCACTAAATTTCAGAAATATGCAATTATTTACTTACTGCTAAAAAGAAAATTTGCCAGCCTAACTTTTTAATATGAAAGTAGAAGAACTATAGGCTTTTTAGAGTCAGTTCAACCTATATCTGAAACCGACTTTGCCATTTACAAGCTAAATGACTAGCCTCAATTTCCTCCTATATAAATGAAAATACCACCAGTTATAAAGACATAAAAGCATGTGGTGCAATGTCTGATATATAATGGGAAGCTCTTGTTATTTTTACCTAAAGGTTTAATTCAATGGCTAATTCAGAGGATACAAACTATTTTTAAAGTAACTGATGACTATACTCTGGGTATCTCCTGGTTCATTTAACCCCAACACTGCACATGAAAGTAGGCAATTGAGATAAGCAAAGATTGGAAAATATACTGGTAGAGCAATTTTTCCAAATTATATTATGAAAAAGGGGCAAGCATTGGTCCAATAATTCCTTTAAGTGCTAAATTTTAAAAACCCTGTTTTATTTCCTCACCACTTCTACAATGGGTACCTCTCACATAAGTTAATAACAGAAGAAAGGAACTGTCTCTCATACATATACAGCCATACCTCGGAAATGATACTGCAGATTCGGTTCCAGACCACCATAATAAAGCGAATATTGCAATAAAGCAAGTCGTAATCTTTATACTGGTGGAAGGTCTTGCCTTCAGTTTGTTAAAAAAAAAGAAAAAAAAGAGAGAGAGAGAAAAAAAACCGCCAACACCTGTGAAGGGCAATAAAGCCAAGTGCAAAAAACAAGGTATGCTTGTAATATTTAGAATACCTGGCGGGGGTGGGGGGGGGTGTGTCTCTTACATAGATGTACTCAATAAGAATTTATTGAATGAAAAGTTGATGTTTCCCTTAAAAGATTTTACAAAATACTTTAATGACAGGATCCTTTCACTTCGATACACTAAAATGTAAGAGGTTACTAATAATAGCTTCCCCAACAAAAGAAATTGCTTTTTATAAGCACTGTTAGCAAACTAGAACAAACTCTAAAAATAAACTGCAATTTTCTACTGAAGAAAAATTTTAAAAATTAAAACACCAAAACAATGAGCACCTGAAACAGGAAAGCACCATCCATTCCACTTTCAGAAACAACTTACCTTTTTGCACCTTCCTTTTGCAGATCTGAAATCCAGATTCTCACAATCACCGGCCTTCACTTCTGTTTGATTCAATAGCATACACACTACTTAGTCTCTTTCGCTATTAAATACATCAGTAGAAAGCACATTGGTCTAAGTGCGAAAGTCCTACCTCAAAATTCTTTAACAAAAAAATTAAGAAAAATGAAATTAATGTGCAGAAATAGTTGTAAAGGCTCCCATCTTTTCTCCCACAAACATCATACTTCGAAATATATTTTAAATGAATTTTTTCCCCAAATGGGAAAGGATTCTTGTGCCTTGATGGGAGGGGGTTAAATAAAAGTAGAACATACTAAAATAAGCCATTTCCAAACAGGTGAGATACCATCAGAGTGTGTGCTGTTGCAGGAAACAGAATAGAGAGCCATGACTGGGAGTCTGCACTTCATATCTGCAAAAGAAGAGTAAAAAGGTTAACTTAACTGCAGACTTAGAAATTATCTTCTTTACCTGTTTACGACAATGCCTATAAACATTTTAAATCAAAAGATGAAATGTGATGGCTAAGACAAAGGCTTGTCCTTAATAAATTGAAATTGTATCTACAGTATTAAAAGTCGGTTATTTGAACACTTTTATACCACACCATCTTGATATTCAGGGTTAAAAAAAAAAAACTTGAGCTCTTCTCTAGACTCTTCTTAAAGCTATCATAATTAGCCAAATGTGCTTCCTGTTAAACAATTATCTAAAGAGAATTCGTTCTAACAGTAAGAATAACCGTCAAAAGACTCATCTTAAATAAATGCTCTTTCCCCTATAAGGAGTGACAGTTAACCTTTTGGGAACCCAAATGCGCGCACCCTTTCTCCAATCTCATTAAAGTTAAAGGTTAATTGGAGAACAGAAGTGCCTCACAAGCAATGTCCCCCACCCAGCACCCTGTTCTCGGCAAAAACCCTTCGCATTTTACATTAACCCCTGCGCCCCAGTGTGGGTGAGCCCAGCCAGGTCGCGAGAGAAAGCCGGGGGTAGGGAGTGAGATCCGCGAGCCCGTAGTGCACCCGCGCCCGCCACCCGGTAGCGCACCTGCCCTTGCAGGCGCTCACCTGGGGCAGGGACCGCCCTCTCTCGGCTTCGCGTGCCAGCCCCACCTAGAGCGCGCGCCACGCGGGACCCAAGGGTGGTGCGGGCGGCTGGGCGCCGGGGAGGCGGGAGCCAGGGGTGACGGGGCCGCACTGGCTAGCTCCCTCTCTGGGGAACGAGCGGACCTGGGCGCCCAGGGGCGTGTTGGGGGTGGGAGCGGTACCTTTTGGACAGATCCATGAGAACCCCGGAGAAGAGCTTCTCCCCAAGGCGGAACGACACGACGAGCGCGTCCTCAATGATGTGGTCCAGCGTGACCCGCACCTCCGAGCCGGGGATGAGTTGCGACACCGCGGAGTCCCCGCCCGCCGGCGGCACGAGCGCCGGGGCTATGGGCTGGGGCAGCGGCGGCTCCTGACGCTCCTCGGGAGCCGGGGGCTGCTCGGGCGGCGGTGCTGGGGAAGGTGGAAGGTCGGGCCCTTCCTGAGGCGCGGCTGCCGCCGCCTCCCCCACCCCTGCGGGCATCCTATCACTTGGTTCACTTAGAGTGAATTTAGTCCTTCGGCGTCCGGCACAGATGCCTCAGTGGCCGTGACCGGGAGCGGGTCAGTGCCGGCCTCGCTGCCGGGGATGGGCTCCATCTCCGGTTCGGCCTCGCCGGCGCCCCCCTCCCCGGGGGACGCTGCAGTCGCTGCTGCCTCTGCAGCCACGGCCGCCATTTTCTCCCTGGCTTCACCCTCCTCCAACTCGGGCTGCAGCGGCGGTGGCGGCAGCGCTGCTTGGTTCCCTGGGCCTTCCCCTCCCTCCCGCGAACATTTTCGTCCCGCCCTATCCCTAAAGCTCGTTATTGGCACTGCGCCATTGGTTCCGTCCTACACCCCTCCCGCACTTGTGATATGCCATTGGCCACATGCGGACGCCTATCATCCAGTCAGTCCATCCCCCTCATGCAGAGTAGGAACTTCTCATTGGCCGGATGAGTTGTCAAATGTCGAATCTTAGAGGAGGAGTGCGGGGGCGGGCCCAAAGTGGGCGGAGGAAGTTACAAAAGCTGAGCCTTATACTTATCGCCTCTTTCTATTGGCTGGAAGAAGAAACAAAATTTTCATGGTTGGCCTATACGCCTGCCCATTATCAGCCGGGCTTTCAGAGGTGGGAGAAAGGAGGGAATCACGTGGCGTGCCGGTTCTTTCAAAGGAGACCAAGGGGAGGAGTATCAAGGGAATACGGGAACGAAACTGCTTCCCAAGAATCCCTGCGCAGAGGTCCTTAGAATAATGTTATTTCTAGGCGAGGACCTGCTGGCAGCCGCTTGTGGGCACGACAAGTTTCTTTGGGAAAGACAAATACGTTTGAAAATGATTCTACAAACACTTGGAGCTCCTACTATGCTAGGCACTGTGCTAGGTGCTGGGGATAAAATGACGTGCAAGACATTCTTTATAACCTCATGGCAGCCACTCCAGCCTCCACACAACGAGTATTCTCCTTGACTTCTCACAACTTTCGAGGAACAATGCACCTACTTATTTCAAAGTAGGAAAATGCTAAAGAAAAGAGGAGGGACTTATGCACATCAGATTAAGCTGATGAAAGTTCCAGAGAGCAGTCCTGTGGCATTGCTGGGCTTCTTGTGAGCACGGCTTGTTCTCTCCAAATTCACTGGAAAATGGGCATATCTGGTTCCTTGCTTAAGCTTTTTTTCTTTCCTGGCTTCTCCTATGCCACAGGTACAAAAAGTCCCTCTCTTCAGTGTCCTAATGCCCCTACTTCTCTATTCTTACTTAAAGTCTCTTGGTTTGTATATCTGGAAGAATCTACTGAATCCATGTCTCTCAAATTGCACCTCGCAGTCAGCCTTCTCTCGAGAAGAAATTGTCGGCACTGAGAATGCATAGCAAAGATAGGGGAGAAAGTTGCATAAAACATAAAATTCTAAAGAATAATTACAGCTAACATTTACTGAGTACCTGCTATGTACAGGCACTAGTACAAACAGTATACCATCTCATTTAATCTTCACAATATTCCTATAAGGCAGGTACTATTATTATACCCATTTTATAGATAAAGAAGTTGAGGCACAAAGAGGTGCGCAAGGTCACTCAACTACTAAATTGCAAAGTCAGAATTCCAGCTTTACATTGGAAGGACGGAGAATGGCAAAATGTATCACCATTTGCTCTATTTCAAGGCCCTTGGGAAAAGGCAAGCAGTTAAGCATCTCCAAAGTAACAGAAGGAAATGAATTTACTGTCTACTCTGTGCCAGAGATTCTCCCATAAGCTTTCATTTATAATTCTGTAAGTTAAGTCTTCTTCTTCTTTTATAGATGAGGAAACTGACCTTCGCCAGGTTAAAGATCTTAAAGGTCACACAGACGGCTAGCAGCAGATCTTATGTGACCCAGGTCTTTCCAAGTGCATGACTGTTTCACTCACTCATTTATTAAACAAATAATTTCTCTCCGGCAGGCCTCTTGCCTGCGATAAACACATGGATCTCACCTTACAAAGTTTTCACCATGATCACTTTGTCTATGGTTCAATTAATTAAATGTAACATATAGTTCTATGAAACTCCTAGACCCACACTGCGTTCCCACGCTGTATAATCTCTCACAGGGAGAAAAATACAGTTCAGGTCCTAAGACCAGATTACCTCCTGCAGTAATTCATTGCAAGACACTGCAGTGTATTATTTAAATAATATACAGGATTTATAGCAGATCGTGGCATACCTAGTCACCCTTATAAATCACTTTTCATCCTGCAACTCAAGAGCTTTTACTAGCTTTCTGTGTTTAGATCAAGTGTACCCTCTTCTGCTTGTCTTTTGAGGCCCTCTCTGTTCCTGCTCTTTCTTTCAAGGTCTGTTTTCTACTACTGTTCAAGCTTCAGAATACTGGAAAGATCTGGTCATGAATTTTTCATCAGTTTAGTCAACAAGTAAATATTGAAGGTCTAGTATGTGTCAGTTACTGGTAGGGAAGCAGAAGTCATGCAACAACGACAATAACAACAACAACAACAACATGAAAGAATTAGTACCTGGTCTCCTGGGACTTAAGAAGCTAGAAACGAAGTAATGAATAAACAAGACGATTACAGATTGTGAGCAATGTCTTAAAAGAATCAGGGTGAGGTGATAGGGAGTAGTTGGGGGAGAGGCAAAGAGTGTCTCCGTTAGAAGGTGGTCAGAAAAGGTCTCTCTAAGGACAAGACATTTTAGCTAAGATGAAAGGATAAGGAGACAGCTAATGACATTGTTTGATGAACGTTTGGGTCAAAAGGAATAGCAATTGCTAAAGTCCTGGGGCAAAAGAGGTCTTAGCTTATTCTAGAAACAGAAAGGAGATCAGTGTAATCGAAGAGGAACAGCAAAAAGATACGTAGGTGAGATAAGATTGGAAAGGAAGACAGGAGCCAAGTCATATTTTATACATGTAGATGCAAAAACAAAAGATGCTGCCCTCAGGAATTTCTACATCTAGTGGGAACCCAGCTTTTACATGTGTGTTGTATCCTGGGCACCACTGTATTTAGCCTCCTCCTGACATAGAATCAGCACAGAGGAGGCCCTCAGTATTTGTGTAATGGATCGCCACATGGTATTTGTAACTGGATAAATGAATGAATAAATGGACAGAGGGTTGGATGGATGGATGGAAGGTTTCTTAGTCTGTTCAAGCTGCTAGAACAAAATACCACTGACTTGGTGGCTTATAAACAACAGGAATTTATTTCTTGCAGTTCTGGAGGCTGGAAGTACAAGTCAGGGCACCATCATGGTCAGAGGAGGGCCCTCTTCCAGCTTGCAGACTTCTTATCATACATTCACAAGGCAGAACGGGGCAAGGAAGCTTCTTGGATCTCTTTTAAAAGGGCTTTAATATCATTCATGAAGACCCAGCTCTCTTGACATAATCACCTCCCAAAGGTTCCACCTTCTATAGCATCACCTTGGGCGATTGTTGAAGGGATGGATAGGTAGATGGGTGGGTGGATGGGTGGATGGGTAGGTGGATGGATGGGTGGATGGGTGAATGGATGGATGGATGGATAGGTGAATGGCAGGGATAAGGAATCCAGCTGACTAGTCAAGTGCATTCTCACAGTCACAAGCAGACTTCGATCTCAAGCTCGGTGGATGGTACTATAGTTTGGTGGCTAAAAACTCAGAGAATTAATCTGTATTTGACTCCCATTTGGCTTCTGACTAGCTGTATAACATGGGCATGATCTTAGGCAAGTTGCTTAATCTGCTTCCTTATTTATAAAATATCTTAATAATAACTAGCTTTCTATAGGTTTGTCGGTTTGTTGCTAAATGATAGAACATATATAAAGTGCCTAACATAGACCCTAAATCATGATAAGTATACCTCATAAATTATTAGCAACTAGATCTAGAAATCTGGTCTTATCACTGCATCTGGTGTTGATCATACATGAGGGCTCTGACTTTCAGTAACCAAACTTTGTGAAAGGCTATGTAAAAATTGAAACACTGGGGTGTTGGTTCATGGAGAGGGATGAATATGCCTAATTATGGCTTGGTGGTTAATTTTTTTTTCTGGGCCTGGTGTCTCAGGAAGTCAAATTACACACAGACAATAGAATGGAGAACAGAGACTCGAGACAAAAGGACTGACTCACAGCACATGGCTGTGAAGTCATGGTGGCCGAATGAATTGCTCATCCTGTTCTAGGCCTATTTCCCTCCAGGTAAACAACATTTCTAAAATCAGATCACTTATTTCCAGACCAAGACTGTAATGGATAACTATTGACAAACATGTCAATCATTGGCTGTCTCTCCATGTGTTCAGTAGTTCTCAAAGTATCAAGCGATCTCTCTGAGAATCTGCTAAAAAGCTATTTTTTTTACATATTGTGCGCCCCCATTTATATATAGTACAAAAAGAAGCAAAACAAATTTATGCTGTAAGAAGTCAGGACAGAGGTTATTCTTAGCAAGGGAAACAGGACAATATAGCTAGTGACTGAAAGACAATATGAATGAGGTTTTCTGGGATCCTCATAATCATCTGTTTCTTCATCTACATACTCGGGTATGTTCAGCTTCTAAAAATTCATCAAATTATACACTTTTATGTACTTTTCTGTATAAAGGTTTATACTAGTTATCTATTACTGCTAGTGTTTTAAACAACACACATTTATCTTATCAGTGTCTGTGGACAGAAATCCAAGCATAGCTTAGTGGGGTCTTCTCATTAGGGTCTCTCTCAAGGATATAATCAAGATGCCAAAAGGGGCTGCAGTCTCATTTGAAAGCTTGACTAGGGAAGGTCCCACTTTTAAGCTCACTCACATGATTCTTGGCAGGATTCTGTCCTCAGTGACTGTTGGCCAGAGGCTGCCCTAAGCTCCTTGCTACACGGGCCTCTCCATAGAATAGTTCACTATTTACAGCTTGCTTCATCAGAATGAGCATAGGAGAAGAGACAGAGAGAAATGGTGCAGCCACAGAGAAGCCATAGTCTTTTACAGCCTAATCTCATCACTTGTGTTGTACTCTATTTAGAAGCAAGTCACTAGGGCCAGCCCAGACACAAGGGGAGATTATATAAGGGCATGAGTACCAGAGGTTATTCTTAGCAAGGGAAACAGGACAATATAGCTAGTGAGTGAAAGAAAGTATGAATGAGGTTTTCTCCGATGAATGAGGTCATCGGAAGCTGATCATCATCCAATTTAAAAGTTAAAAAAAATATTTCGGCAAGGGGGGAGGTAGATGGGGTAAAGGGGGGTAAAATATGTGGTGATATATAGAAATCTGGCTATGGGAGG